TATCTTCTCCTCTATCCATCTTCTATCCGCCTCCCCCTCTCTCCCTATTTATTTCAGAACCCCCTTCCCCTCCCCCATTTCTGAAGAGGGGTCTAGGCCCGAAACGTCAGCCTTCCTGCTCCTCTGATGCTGCTTGGCCTACTCTACACCTTGTTATCCTAGAGGCTGTAAAGTTCCCAAGCAGAAAATGAAGTTTTCCTTGACCTTATTTTGTGCTTTGTTGGAATATTGCATCAGAATTGACAGAAATGTTAGCATGGGAGCAAGGTGGTTTAGCAAAAATAGTAATTAACTAGAAAGCAGTGGTCATTTCTGTGGATAGAGCAGAAATGTTCCCCAAAGCAGTTAACTAGTCTGCATTTTGTCTTGCCAGTGTAAAGGAGACAGCATTGTGAGCAGCAAATACAGTAGTTGTAGTTTATTTCCTTCCTGGCAATGTTCATAAGCCCCACCCATCCCAGCAATATGTGCAGTATTCACCCCTCCACCTGAAAATACCTACCGTCATCTGTCAGTGAGCACATAAACATTCTCCTCTTCTTGCCTGTCCTCTGGGTGCAGCTGCCCACCTGACTGTCCTCCCAGAATCAGTGACTGTATGTGGTTGATGTTGGAAGAGTCAATATTGTTCAGGAGTGTGTTGGTGAAGGAGTGATGGGAGTGAGCATTATCAGGAATGAGGGAGAGAGTCTGCACTGTGAGGGTGGGGGATTCAGTTAGGGTTTGGCATGGGAGATGGTTAAGCATTATCGGTGGGTGAAGAAAGTTGAACATTTTGGGGTGTGAGACATGGAGGTTGAGTGTCTTCAGGATGAGGGAGGGGATTCAGCCTTGGGGGCAGGATCAGAAAATACAGTTGAATTTTTGGGTGATGAGGGAAAGGCAGGCAGAAAAAATTGAACATTGTTGGAGCTGCAGGGACAGAGGTCAGCATGTCAGTTCTAAGGTTTTTTTTTATTCACAAACAGGATGTGTGTGTTGCTGGCTAGTCCAGCATTTATTGCCTATTATTAATTTCCTGAGAGAAGGTGGTGATGATCTGATTCTTGAAACTCTGCTATCATTGAGGTGTAGGGACACTACAGTGTTTTTAGGAAGGAAGTTCCAGAATTCGGACCCACCAGTAGTGAAGGAGTGGTGCACAAGTTCCAAGTCAGGATAATGTGTGACTTGGAGGGGAACTTGCGGGTGATGGTGTTCCCATGTATTAGCTGCCCTTTTCCTTCTAGATGGTAGGGGTTGCGGGTTTGGAAGGTGCTGTTGGAAAAACTATGGCAACTTGCTGCAGTGCATTGTGTAGCTGGTACACTCCCTACTTCAGCAGGGACGGAAGCCAGTTGATTGGGTTGTTTATTATCCTGGATGGTGTCAAGTGTTTTGAATGTGGTTGGACCTGTACTCATCCAGGTAAGTAGAGAGTATTCCATCACATTTTTGACTTAGCCTTGTAGACAGGCACTGGAGAGACTGGGAGTGAGTTATTCACTGCAGAATTCCTAGTGTCTGACCTGGTCTTGAACCCCAGAATTAATATGGCTAGTCCAGTTCAGTTTCTGGTCAATTCTAACCCCCAGGATATTGATTTGCAAGGGATTCAGCAAAGCTAATGCCTTTCAATGTCAAGGGGTGATGGTTAGATGGCCTCTTGTTGGAGAGAGCCATTTTCTGGCACTTGTGTGGCATGAGTGCTACAAACATCTATTAGCCCTAGTCTGGATAGTGTTCAGGTTTCAATGCATATGGACATGGACAGCTTCAATATCTGAGGAGTTGTGAGTAGCGCTGAACATTGTGCAATCATCAGCAAACATCCCAAGTTCTGACCTTATGATGAAACAACTGAAGATGGTCAAACCTAGGACATGCTTTGAGGAACTCCTGCACTGATGTCCTAGGACTGAGATGATTGACCTCCAATAACCACAACAGCAACCTTTTTTTTGTGCTAGACATCAACCAGTGGAGAGTTTTCATCCAATTCCCACTGACTCCAGTTCTGCCTTGATATCAAGGGAAGTAACTCTTAACTCACCTTTGGAGTTCAGCTCCTTTCTCCATGTTTGAACCAAGGTTGTAATGAGGCAAGAGCCAAGTGGTGGAACCTAAGCTGAGTATCAGTGAGCAGGTTGTCCCTTTGCTGTTGCTGCTTAACAATACTTTCAACAACTGCTCCATCACTTTGCCAATTATAGATCGGGGTATGAAATTGGCCAGATTGGATTTGTCCTGCTTTTTGTGGACAGAACATTACTGGGCAATTTTCCACTTTGCCAGGTAGATGTAACTGTACTGGAACAGCTTAGCAAAGACTACACCTAGTTCTGGAACATGAGTTTTTAGCACTATTGTTGGTATATTGCTAAGATCCATAGCCTTTGAAGTATCCAGTACCTTCAGCGGTCTCTTGATATTACCCTGGAGTGAATCAAATTTGTTAAAAACTGGCATCTGTGATGCTGAGAATCTTGGGGGACCAAATGAATCATCCAGTTGGCACTTCTGGCTGAAGATTGTTGCAATTACTTCAGCCTTGTCTTTTGCACTGATGTCATGGACTCTGCTGTCTTTGAGGACGGGAATATTTGTGGAGCCTCCACCTCCTGTTAGTTGCCTCATTGTACACCACCATTCACAACTGGATTGGTATGACTGCAGAGCCTAGATCTGATTGGCTGATTATGGGATTGCTTATCTCTGTCTGTTGCATGCAGTTTCCACTGTTTGGCATGCAGATAGTTTTGAATTGTAGCTTCACCAGGTTCACACCCCATTTTTAGGTATGCGTGATGCTGCTCCCGGCATGTCCTCTGGTTGATCCCTGGTTTCATGATACTGGTTGAGTACATAAAATACCATGACATTACACATTGCGATTGAACGCAATTCTGCTGATGACCAGTAGCATCTCATGGATGCCCAGTTTTGAGTTGTTAGATGAATTCATAGTCTTACCCATTTAGAATTTTGGTAGTGCCACACAGCATGATGCAGGTTATCTTTAATCTGAAGATGGACTTCACTCCACAAGGATTGTGTGGAAGTAACTCATAGTAATTCTGAAATGGAAACTGTATTTGCGACAGGTATATTTGAGGCTGAGTTTAGGTATATTTTTCCCTCTTTCGGGTTCCCTCACCACTCTCAGAGCCAGTTTTGCAGCTGGTCCTTTAGGTCTTAGCTTGCTTCATCAGTAGTGGTGCTCCCAAGCTAATCTTGGTGATGAACATTAAAGTCCAGAGGACATCTGTGCCGTGGCAATTTTAGTCCTTCGACAAAGTGGTGTTGAGCATGAAGGAGTACTAATTAATCAACTTGGTGATGGGGAGGGGAAGAAGAGGGGGAATTCCTTGCCATCGTGCAGTGAGATTTCATGGGGTTCAGATTCAGTTTTGAGGTCTCCCAGGGCAATTCCCTTTCTGATGTTTATCACTGTTCCACCACGAATGGGGCAGAATTTATTTAGGGATAGTGATGATGGTGTTTGGGACATTGTAATATATAATTTTGAGTGTATGACTATATCAGGCTGTTGCTTAACTAGTCTATGGAACAGCTCTACCAATTTTGCTACAAACACTAGATGTTGGTAAGGAAGAAGAGGTGAGCATTTTTGAGATGAGCAAGCAGTTTGAACGTTATCGGGCCATGTGAGAGAAGGATGAGCAGTCAGTGGGAGGATGCCATGCAGTGCTCCATTTAAAACAGTACAAGTAAATGATCAAGGTGCACCTTCAAATTATGACAACAAAGGTGTTGTTTGCTGGAATTAAATTTGCTGCTTAGCTTCCTCACTCTGTCTCTCCATCTGTGCTGAAGCCAGCACTGGCTCAAACATAAAATGGTAAGTGAGCAGATAAACCATGCACTGGCTGGTGTACCATCTTTGCTTCTGACTGGCGGGTGTGGGCTAATGAACTTTAATGTGTTTATTTTGTAACCACTTACTTTCCTAACCATTTCCTAATAATGGTGTTGAAATTCATAATATGGTCATTCTTCATAAAGCCAGCTGTTTAATAAATATTGATTAAACTTTCCTTTCTTGCAGTTTGTCCTGCTAATTGGAAACCTGGTGCTGACACCATCACACCCGATGTAGAAAAAAGCAAGAATTACTTTGCAAAACAGAAATAACTTCTGGTTTGTTTATGGTTCATTGTGACCAATATAGAATATTAGACTGTTAATTGTGTAGCTGAAATAAGAGTTGTTTTTAGTGAGCAGATATTTTGCTGCTGTTTGCTGAGACCAAAACTGATAAGTATGAGCGTACATTTTATGCATTGAAACTCTGCTCAGAGCCTCGCTTGATGAGGTGTGGATCAGAGAATTGGGCATGGAGATAAATATGTCTAATTTATGTACTCCTGGTGTTTTGGTAATTAATTTCTATTATAGGAAAATCAAGAGGCCACGAGTTAGGCGTGTTAAGCCCAGTGCTGCCTGATTTTCCATTTGTTGAGTGAAGCTCTGTGCCAGGAGCAAAGTCTTGCAAATTTACCCTGTATCTGACAAAATCAGTTTCCACTTGTGTATTAGTTAGAATGAAGCTTCAGTTCTGAAGCTAAAATGCTCCAGTGTTTCACAGGAATTGGAGCATAGTGGTGACTTTGATTAAACCAGTGTTTGGTAAAATTCATTACATATTTTGTGCATTTGTCAGTACAAAAATAAAAATTTTGAAAAGAAGTGTGGGTTTATTTATTACATTTTTTTACTTTTGTTCATTGGTACTGAAGTTGATGTGCATTAGCAGTGCAAAGGTATTGAAGAACAGGTACCTTAACATGATAGGTGCAGTGTGTGACTGCATCACCTGTTGCAGTAGGAATTAGAGGCAAATGCTAGAGCATGCATGCTTGTGGCTATGAAGGTTATGTCAACCCTCAGCTTTTAGATATTTTCTAAATCAGCCTGTTCCAAGATGTCATTACACATCTCTGAAGCAGGTGGAACTTGAACAAGAGTCTCCTTGATCAGAGGTAGGGATACACGATTGTGTCACAGGAGCTCTTCTGGCCCTCAGCTTTTATATTACAGACTCTATCAGGTAACATAACATTAGTGTTTTGTTCTTAGGATTATAAGGCAGGTGATTGAGGCCCTTCTGATAGGGAGAGAGCAATACATCATCCAATACTTGCCCACTTTAATCCTTAAGATATTGGAGCAGAATTAGAGCATTCAGCTCATTGAGTCTGCTCTGTCATTTGATCCCGGCAGATGCGTTTCTCAGCACCATTCTCCTGCCTTCTCCCCATTATGTTTGATCCCGTTAGTAATCAAGAGCCTATCTTAAATACATGCAGTGACTCAGCCTCCTCTGCCTTCTGTGGCAATGAGTTCCGCACATGAACCACCCTCTGGCTGAAGACATTCCTCCTCATTTCAGTTTAATGGGTTATCACTCTGAGTTTGTGCCATCGGGTCCTAGTCTCTTCAACTAGTGGAAACATCTTCTTCACGTCTACTGTATCCAGGCCTCTCAGTATTCTGTAAGTTTCAATCAGATTCCCCCTTGTCTGCGAAAGTCTATTGAGTACACACCCAGACTCCACAACTGCGTCTCATATGACAAGCCCTTCAACCCTGGGATCATTCTTGTAAACTTCCTCTGGATCTCCTCCAATGCCAGAACATGCATCTTTAGATCAGGGGCCTGAATCTGCTCAGTGTTCCAAATGCAGTTTAACTGGAGCCTCATATAACCCGAGTAGTACGTTATTGCCGTTGTATTCTAATCCTCTCGAAATGAATGCTAACATTGCATTCATCTCCCTAACTGAAACTATGTATTAACCTTAAGAAAATCCTGAACCTTAAGCTCCCTAATAAAGTCTGCCTCTTTATCCATGACCAAATCCAGAATTGCCTGTTCCCTAGTGGACTTTAGCACAAGCTGCTCTTAAAAAAAAATCTCGTAGACGTTTCTTTGGGATGCACTGATTTTCCCAATCTACATATTGGAAGACATCCTGCCATGATTATTGTAACAGTGCCTTTCTTCCATGCATTTTCTAATCCTGATTTATTTTCTGCCCCACAACCTGACTGCAGGTAGGGGGTCTGTGTACAACTCCCATTAGGGTCTTTTTACCTTTGTTGTTCCTCAACTCTACCCACAGATTTTATGCCTTCCAAACCAAAGCGATTCTTGCTTTTGATTTAATTTCATTTCTTTCTAACAAGGTAACCACACCCCCTCTGACCATCTGATTGTCCTTTCAATATGATGCATGTCCTTGGATATTAAGTTCCCAGCCCTTTATCCCATTGCAACTATGCCTCTGCGATGCCCTCAACATCGTACCTGCCAATTTTAATCTCTGTTGCAAGCTCATTTACCTTGTTTCATACACTGTATGCTTTTAAGTATAGTACCCTCAGTCTTGTGTTGACTGCCACCTTCTCATTGTTGTCTCCTTATATGTGGTGCCAGAAGTTAAATTCCTGACCCTTTCCATACTTTCTGTCCTATTACTTGCTCTGAAAACTTTAATATAACTTCTCCTGAGCCTTCCCCTTCCCTCTTCTTCCCCCACCCAAGTTAATTTAAAGACCTTGTGACCACCCCATTTAGCCTTTCAGCTGTAGGATTTCCCCAGATATAAGCTCAATTGACTGCACCTATGTTTCACATTCTTTTTTTCGAGAACTTTTGCTTTAAAACAGGAAAGGATTTCAGACTTGAATGTTCTGACCTATGACCACAGACAACAAATAATGCAGCTGTCTCTTTATTTTCTTGGAAATAGTCATGATGGTTTCGTACTGCACAAATTCTCAATCTGTACTATTTGCAATCTAGACAAGCATACACTGAGTGTATGTGAGGCATTGGTAGTACACATACCTCTGAGTTAGAAGGTCCAGGTTTAAGTCCCACTGGTGGTGAGCCACAGCATGTTGAGACAAGTTGATTAAAATGACAGCAGCAGGCAGACTCTTTGGAAATGTGATATCCTCTCTAAATCTGGTTTATATTTGCTGTCAGGAACCCACACACAGATGCAGAATATTGAAGTAATTGACAGCTATACTAAAACAAGACCTTTCACTGAGCAAACTGTAAGCATCCTCCAAGATTGCAGTGCTAAACAATTCAGTGGAGTTCTGTAGTGTACATGTGTATTATCTTTCTCCAGGGCCCCTGACTCTGTCTTGCCAAAGTATGGTTGCTATAGTGATGCAAAAATAATTTGCAGGTTATGGTAGACTTTACAGGATGTCTTTATGGAAGGTTCTTTACATTTTAACTGCTAAATTGACCTGTGAAGAGTCAGCTTTCTCATATCAATTTGGGTTCACTGAATGCTAAGAGATTGTATTCATACTGTCTTTATTTAGAGTCATAAAGTCATTAGAGCTGTACAGCATGGAAACAGACCCTTTGGTCCAACCCATCCGTACCAACCAGATATCCTAAATAAATCTAGTCCCATTTGCTAGCATTTGGCCTGTATCCCTCTATGCCCTTTCTATTCATATATCCATTCAGATGCCTTTTAAACATTGTAATTGTACCAGCCACCACCACTTCCTCTGGCAGCTCATTCAATACATGCACCACCCTCTGCGTGAAAAAGTTGTTCCTTAGTCCCTTTTAAATCTTTCCTCTCTCAACTAAAACCTATGCCCTCTAGTTTCGGACTCCCCCACCCTAGGGAAAAGACCTTGTCTATTCACCCTATCAATGCCCCTCATGATTTTATAAACCTCTATAAGGTCACCCTTCAGTCTCTGACATTCCAAGGAAAATAGCCCCAGCCTATTGGGCCTCTCCCTGTAGCCCCACTTCTGTGCGTATGAAGGTACGTGTAGGCCAGAGCAGGTAAGGATGGAATGCACCTTCACTAAAGGGCCTTAGTGAACAAGGTTGGTTTTTTTTGTGACACAATTTCAGTTATTTTTAGATTTAATTCCGGATTTTAAAAATTGTATTCAAATTCCATCATCTGCTGTGGTGATTACTAGTCTAACAACAACATCAGTAAGTCATTGTCTTCACTTAATTAGAGGAAGAAAATTTTGAATCAGAGATAGTAGGAACTGCAGATGCTGGAGAATCCGAGACAACAAGGTGCAGGGCTGGATGAACACAGCAGGCCAAGCAGCATCATAGGAGCAGAGAAAATTTTGATATTGTTTTGGCCCCTTAAATAATTAAGATGGCCCTAGCCTTAGCTCGTAAGACGTGAAGTCACCTCAACCAGAAACAAGTCTTGCTCTTGCTTAAAGGAAGACAGCAAACCATCAATCAGCTGAATTGGCAACTATTTCACAGACCTACAATTCTCTGGGAAAGGATCCAGTGAATGTTGAATGCAGGGAAACTTATGAATCATATACTGAAAATTAGTTCCCTGTTCTGTTGCTGTTTGCATTAAAATGGGGCCACAATGGAAAATAATTTGGGAGGAACTGATCTAAGCAAATTTTACCTATGTATGATTTATAACTGACCCCAGACCCTCCTTACCCTATTCATTTGAAACAACTGTTGTAACACAAAAACAGTTTTGTCCTTTTGTGAGCTTATCAACCTTGATCAAATCAATCCTAAACCTGTGCTTCATTCTTAAATATAAAGACCCAGTTTCTTTGAATTTGTCCAGGTAATTAAACTGCTTTAAACTAGGAATTAAACATATGGCCTTCATTTTAATTTTTTCTAAAGCTTCAAATCCAAACAAATTATTCTAACCAATGCTTAAACCAGGTTGTGTTCAAGACAAAATAATGTGCTTATTTTTTTTAGAAAAAGGCCCACTAACTGCACCAAATTTGTTGACTAATGCCACAAGGCTATTATTAATGAACCTAAAGCATTTTGAGAATATAAACCATTATTACTGTAATAAGCTTGTCAATACAAAGTCCTTTAACTGCTTTCGCATACTGAAAAACACCTGTTCTTTGGAATAATTGTGACCAGTTTTCATGCAATCCTTGCAATTGTTTTTTTTTCATTCATTCATGGAACGAGGCCATCACTGGCTAGGACAGCATTTATTGCCCATGCCTAATTGCTTAGAGAGCAGTTAAGAGTCAACCTCATTGCTGTGGGTCTGGAGTCTCATATAGGCCACACTAGGTGAAGATGGCAATATCCTTCCCTGAAGGGCATTAATGAATTAGAGGAGTTTTCCCCCTGACAATTATTCATGGTCATCATTAGATTCTTTATTCCAGATTTTTATAGTATTCAAATCTCACCATATGCCATGGCGGAATCCAAACCTGGGACCCAAGAACATTACCCGGGTTTCATGGAGTAACAATCCATGATAATGCCACTAAGACATTGTCTCGCCCTTAGTATTGATAAGTTCATAAATAGCTTTTCAAAAGGATATTGGCTGAAGTGAAAAGAGTTGGAAGACTAAATTCAAAAGACAAATCAAAAGTTTGGTGTCCATCTTTCATTGGAACAGATAATAGATGAGTGCATCGTAAATAAACAGAAATAACAATTCCTGAGCCACATGTCACGGCGGTTGACATCAGTGATGTGATGACCGATTGTAAACACTCATCATATTTTAAATACAGATTCAGTGATGGCAACACCATTGAATGTCAAGGGACGGTGGTTAAATTGTCTCTTACTGGTGATGGTCATAGCCTGGCACTTGGGCTACGGGCTCTGACAACATTCTGGCAATAGTACTGAAGACTTGTGCTCCAGA